TGAGGCGACGGGTCAACCTAGTTCGCGATGGAGTTGTCAAAGTTACAGGGCGAAAGGATGAAAGCATCATCGCTCATAATGCTCTCAATACTTCCAACTTTCAGTTATCATCAACGTTTTACATGCTATCCCCATGAACGCTTTCTCCACTACCGCAAGACTTTTATTTTGCTCAAAATGAGCGTAGTACGAGCAAGAAGCAGATCATTGTGAAATAAAGAAAAACGCCGAAATGGGGACATTTTTTCGAGACGGTCTGTTCTTAGATGAAGAAACACTGAGCACAGAGTGGACAGAATGAGCGGGAGAGCACACAGGAACAAGAGGACGTAGACACCCTGCCCAAGGACCTTTGCATGTGAGCAAGGAGCGGCGGTCATGGCAAGGCCCTAAAGATCTTGCGCTCACTTTTATGCAGGATAGAACCACATTTCTACATTCCCGGATAGCTCTCCCATAATTACGGTGGGGACTAATCCGTGCGTCTAAAACTTCACATACACTGCAGCCGATTCCTCGGCAGATACCTGCCCTTATTCTACTTCGAATACTGCATCGCTGCGCTCTGCTGATAACAAGTGAATCGCACTACTCCAAGCACTATCAATCCCATTTCTTCAAAAAAACACAAAAAAACAAGAATGATTTGGATGGTTATAAAAGAAACCAGTTTCCGTGTGAGTTTAGTATACTGTTAGTGAAGCTCCAAAGACACGCCCAGGATGAAATTGGTATAGTTCTTGCACATAAAAAGAAAGCATTGGTACGAACTGAGGCGACAGTCGAGAAAAAATCGAAAGTTCGTTAAACATGCTGAAGGAGCTGGCTCAGTTATTTGATTCGGCTGTGCTGAGACAATGAGAGACTAAGCACAGATGAGAGAGGGTAGGTGAGGGAGCACAACGGATCAGAGAGCGCAGATCCCAAAAAGGCTTAGGACGAGAAATAGGAGCGTCGGAGGGACTTTGCAAGCCCCTCCAAAGCAGAAAGAACAGGATATCCGCGACCTTCGTTAACAGCTATATTCTTCATCCAAAAGGATCAACCACCTAGACTCATCTGGGTTGCGCCTTTAACAGCAACGGTGCAGTTTCTTTCCTTGACCATGGCAGTGATAGCTCCAAATAGCAATGATATAGTTCTATGAAATTCATATACATGGGAATTAAGCAGTGGTAAAACATTACGACGTAATGTGTTACTTGTTTTTGTTAGGGCAAAATATGATTCTTTATGAGTGTTTGATTCTAGGGAAAGAAGGAGGGACAGAGGTGGCGCAGTGACATGAAACGACAACCACACGAATCTCGCTCAAACAAATCAAGAAACCTTTCTAGGCTTGATCAGTTTTCCTAATTGTTGGCAGGTGAATTTCCAAATACGCATTCAAAGGGCCCGAAAATTCTGAATGAAAGCTGAATATGTGGCTTATCTCGAAAGGCGCCGGCATATTCGGTAGCTTCCGCGATTCTGACACTATTGAAAGAAGTGGAGAACCAACATAAAAGGATTAGAAAAAAACAGCGTTCTTTCAATCTCAGAATTCTTTTTCCGATAATTCATCCTAACTACAACCTAAAAGACCACAGATTTGCACAGATCACACATCTGTGATAGTTGGCCCGGTGAGCGCCAGGTTCAAGTGTTCAAGGAGAATTAGCACACGGTCAGCCAAATGGCAGTGATTGTTGATCTTGCGGAGCCAGCCGGTAATAAATGATGAATTGTGATGATAAGAAAACTGATTAACTTGGATGGGCCGTTCCACTGGTCTCTGAAAACGACCGGCTGTGATAACACGTGGTGGAGGCCGGCGTCCCATGGTCGAGACGAGACGGCGGATGACGCCTTTTCAATTTTTGACGAAAATAGCAATTTCGCAAAAACAAGCTGATCAGGAGAGATGATGACGGAGAAACCTGTATTTCATTTGGGAAAACAAACGTGGAGCGAAATCCCCCACTTGCAATTATCATAGCAAGGTATATACGCGACGTCTTAACACGTTGACGACAGCCCCTTATGCGTGTACCTCGGCAACTTTTTGTTTATTTTTTTCACAATCGTCATAACTTCTTCAATAATTCCACTACTGGTAATTGACTCACAGTTTTTCGGATAAGATAACGCATGCACACAGTTTTGAAATATGAAAAAGGCCAAATAAACCAAAAAAACTAGCCAGAATCGGGTGAAATTCTGACGCGCATGCGCGTCATGCTGTCGTCAACGTGGTAATCATTCTTCAAAAAGAATAGGTGTCACGCGGTTATCACCTATACAGAAAGAATATACTAGTGAAGCCATTTCCTTTCCTTTGAAAGGAGACCCAAAACGAAAAAATGGGGATCAGCCGAATTTACGAACTCTGAAATGTAATACGAACTGTTCAACAGGTGGAGGATGCTGAGAGTTCCTATAGTACGAGAATGCAATGCGACGACCAAGGCAGAAGATCTTCTGAACCAATTGAGCTACTTCGCCGCGTCTTCTCCGACCCATCGACATGTTGTTGCCCCTTTTAGATTTTGCCCCGATACCTAGCGCGGATCAGCCGCAATTCGAGCCATCGACCCATGCGCAAGCTACTATATCGCTGGCGCATCGCTGCAATCGCTGGTGCACGGCCCACTTCCTTCGAATTCCTGGCAAATGGCGATTTGCTAGCTAATGGACGTTAAGTCTGACAGCTGCCAACTACAATACTAATTCTGATTTTTTATTGGCTTGTTTCTGCACAGTATGGCCTCCTTATCATCCGTGGCTTATGATGTAGAGTGAAATAAGTAGGCAAACAAAAAAAATAACGACGATGCAAATTAGCTGCACTGGTTGACGGCATGCGGAGGGGATACTTTTGAAAGAGGGCGCAGTTCGTGTCTCTGCAGCTGAGAAGTGGAACGACAACGCGATGAACAACAGAGCATAATGGAAACGCGGTACACAAAGTGGCCTGTACTCCACTACGGCCGACGATAGGCCACCGTGATCGGAATGGAGAGGTTAATGAGGGCTGCGATACAAGGATGGGTTCATGAAACATGGTAGAGAACATGGTAGGTATCCTTTCAAGCAACGATGTGAATCCTAGTAATAATTCTAACTCCCTTTGATGGGTTCATTACAATTCACAGGTAACACGAACCACTGCAGATTCGAAAACGAAATAGTGGCCGTATGGGTTCCTGAAGTTTCGGTACCAACATATCCAAAAAAGCTGTGGTCGAACGAGGCTTGAATAATGTGGAGTAATGCAGCTTTCAGGAAATTTTCGCAGTCGTGCACATTCAAGGACAGCTACCAATGGGGAGTCCCCAAAAAACATAGGGTTCAGGAAAAGGAACTTTATAGGGAATGTGCTTCTTGGGAGTAAACTTCAAAATGGACAACGTAATTGCACATCGTAGCGCATGTACAGGGTGGGCCGAAACTATTGACCAAGAGATTATGACGCCAAAAACGCATAACAACCCAAACGAATGAACAAACTTCGAAAAACTGTTTGTCGCTCATATCACAAAGCAAAACCAGATCATTGAGATCTGCCAACTTCTGTATTTGCTTGGACCTCGAGACGACGAGGGAAGGCTGTACAGTGGCACGCAGTCAAAATTGTTCCAGGCTTTCTGTTACAATTTCTGTTTCTGCTACAAAAATCAATCACAAACACAAACATCAAAAATGTTATAATACATACAATTTTGCGGTAATCAAGCAATTCCGTTTGGAATTTTTGCTTGAGTACTGCAAAATAATACTTTTCGCGCAGTGCTACCTACACCTTCAATGAAATAGCTTTCTTCTCATATCATTTTGTGCGAAAATCGAAATAGTTCGTAACGAACAAACTTACTCCCTTTTTAGAAATCTCAAAATCTATTGTAAGGTTCCAACCCGAGAGGATATGAGTTCAAATTCCCACATTCAATTTCACACAGCTCCTTCCGAAACCGACTTGATCTCCTTCAAACTCACATTCCATTGGAAGTGGCAACTAAAGCGCAAAAATTTGATTGAACGCAGGGATGC